ACAAGTCCCTAATTGGAATCAATAACACTATGAACTACTCTCTTGACAGCAAGAAATTTCATGTTAGACCGATAATTTCTTTAATGTGCTGAACAGCTAACAGATTATGGATGTTTTGACATCTATAGCAGTTGCCGAGATGATCCTCATCCAGTTATAAGAATGAGCCTTTTCAAAATCTAAAGACACCTCATAAATAAACATCAGATGTTACTTAATAATAAAAAACTTGATAATAACCAAGAGTCACAGGTCTGTACGATTCTAAACAAATTGCAAAAAATGTTTAATCTCCCGCGTAGCTTTCAATCTAGCACTTAACAAAAGGAACTGTTCTCTTCATATTGAAAAGGTTTGGCAAGAACTCTAGATCACTCAAACATCATTTGGCTTCATACCTTGCTTTTAAGACCATGAATGATCCATCTCCAAGGCCCACAGCTAAATGACTGCCATCAGGACTAAAGCCTAAAGAACGAGCCTTTTGATTCAAGTCTGTTCGTGCTAGTAACGTCATGTCAGACAGGCTCCATAACCTTACACTCCTGTCATCACTGCCAGTGGCAAACATTGGTTTCTTGGGGTGAACTGCTAAAGCCCAGAGTTCTCCTTCAGCATGGCCCTAACATTATAACACAAAAGCTGTCTTGGTTTGATACCAAGTCGAATATGACTGGCAAAACATATTGTTCAAGAATAAGTTGGCTTCACTAGAGTGAAAGATAATATTTATTTTTTCTACAAGTAACTCCCTCAGAGCCATAACCCCCACCACCACTACCACCACCCACTAAATGGGGTGATAGCTCATTGCACCTTGGGCCTATAATCACACTGTTCTAGGATTCGCATAACCTTGAGACTTGATTTAGCAGTGACGTTATCATTAGAAATGAGATGTTGGTCACCATGAGGACTTTTTTCTGTAAGAGTTCTGTTGATATACAGCTCTGGAAGAAATCCTACTGTTTTGCCACTCAAATGAAACCTGAAGTACTTTCCTGAGGAACTTTTTGTTTTTTTAATGGCATTCAAAATTAATTTTTCTTCATGTTTTTTTTATTACTATTATTATTATTTTTATTTTTGGCACTCCTGGGAGTGAAAATGTTGCAGGAGTGCAAGCAACCCCAAATGGAAACAGCAGTAAGAATGGCACAAAACATCACAGTTTCATCTACACATCTCTGCATGGGTGCTAAGATGTTCTTTAAAATACCCTTAATTTACGTTACTGGTAATACTGACCTGTATAATAGTTCTTGGTTTGTCTTTTTCTGTTGCAAAGACCTCAAAAATCTCTCCAGCGTTTGTACCAACAAGGATTTTTTCACCTGACCAGAAAGTACTCCTCACAGACAATCCTGGCAAAGAAAATTGCACTTATATTTAACATTGCTTCACAGGGTAATTTCAATTGTTACAATCAAAACCACCTTCTAATCTAAATAAAGAAAACCAGAATCTCATGGGGATGGCTGAGTGAAACAATCATGTTGGGGGTAATGAGAGGGGAAGAAAAGAAACAGGTTAATAGGACCCAGTGAGAAATAAAGCTTATGCAAAGTCAACCCACAGTACTCAGCATAATAAAATACTCATTCAGTAATTATTTAACCATTATTCCTTAAAACTGAAGTATCCAAGATTTGAAACTTTACTTACCTGGACAGTATGAAATATAAATTCCTATATATTGCAGATTTTGAGAAATTTTCTAAACTACAAGGCCATCTTCTGAGTAAATGACATAGAGGTGAATACACTTAAATATTTTATTTTTCAGATTACCTTCATAACCAACAGGAGAGTTAATCATGTCCAGTTTTGTGATGGGTTTAAAGTCATTATCCCACAAGATAACAGTTCCATCCTTTGATCCTGTAGCATATCCATCACTATTACTATGCATTGTAAAAATCGCACCCTTAAAAAAATGCAAACAAAATCTGCTATCAAATGTACAGGTACCTTTTTTCTTAGCTGTCTGAGAAACTCATTAAAAGTGTTTCTTTCCAATATTTCTTATGAGCATAATCGTTACAAGCCGCAAAGTCAGTTTTTGTGCATGCACTAGGCATCCTTTTTCACCAAGGAGATACCCACAAAATGGACTCAAGTAACCACAAGGCATTATTCTTGTAATTAGTTTACACACTTCCTTGCGCACTGTGCGCATTAATCGCTTTCTGTCAGTTCATCAGTCGATACACTCACTTTTAGGACAGGGCACAATTTGCATCAAACATCAGAGCTTAAACACTACACTCTGAATATATACTGCCTGAGTAAGATAATTTAACTGAGCTATTCCCCTCGTCAAAATTGCTTCATGAAAATACTTCCTGGTTTGCGCTAAAAAAGGGTCTTGTCGCAAAGTCTTCAAATTAAGAAATATTTTTTGGTTAAGCAAATGGTAAAATCTAGCACTTGATGAAGGTCCCATCAAAGATCCTGCCAAAGTAATATTCAGTAAGTTAAATATTGCAGTTGAAACGGCTTCAATAATTCAATGTGGCAATGGTTTCTGGATATTATTTGGCATTATGTCCGAGGAACTGAAACTGTGTTCACCAATATATGGCTCTCACATGTGAAGTTCGAGCGCAGGATTAAGCTTGACATCATTGAAACCAGTTTGACGACACAGGAATCATGGTTGTGTAGATCCTCAATCACTATTTGATAACGTGCAAAAAATATAATTCAAGGGGCATTTAGAAATGCCGCCAAGAGTCGTGATCTTGCCAAAATACTCAAACCATCTACAATAATGCGCAACATTTAGGATATCCCATCTTCTTTTTTGGATAAGAAAATTGTTGAAAAATAATTATACTATACACGAAGTTGATGCAAACATAAGTCACGCAATGCTATCCCCCAAAAAATGTGATTCTATAATTGATCTGAGACAGTCCATTTAATAAACACCAGTTTCCGAGTATTAAGTTAGTTTTACTAAGTAGGTTTTCCCCTCTATCTCTTGTTTTAAAGGCCAAGGTTAAAAGTTGAAAAGAGATTTTTCTTAAGGTTAAACTCATCACCAACAGATGAGCTTGGGGCTGGTGCCTAAAGGATTGGTGAAGCCAGGCAAAGCTGTAGCAAGAAAAGGAGGTATCCATGGCAACCCTGCAAGCAGCCACCACCAAGCACCATCACACTGAATCACTCAGTGGAATACTTACTATCAATACTTACTAGGTAGAAAGAACCATTGGGAGGGTGGAGCGGGCAGAAAAAATTGCAAGGCAACAGCAGGCAAGCTAAATATGTGGGAGATTTAGTAAAAAACTCATAGCTTGATTTGATCATGTTTTAGCTACAGTCGCCAATTGCAGTTTTCCTGCATTGTGTTAGTTTGGATAAATCAATAGATTTTTCTCTCCTCTCCCTCTTGGCTTACAAGGAGTGCACTCCAGCTTAAGAGGTGAAGAGAAACTATTTTTTAAAAGGGGGAAAGTCATAGCTTGAATCAATGGTGTTTTAGCTAGCCAGTTGCAGCTTTCTTAAATTGTGTTAGCTTGAATAATCAGTAGATTTTTAGGAAAGCAATGGGCTGGGGAGGGGGTAAAGGGCGGCAGAGCCTGAAGAGATGCCTTTGATGCCGCCATTCCATAACACCAGATTCTGATATCATGCTCTGATTGGTCAAAAGTCCCAACGTTGACAGATTTGTGGTGCTGTTGACCATATTGGACTCCTTCAGAATCACGCTTCGTCAATTCAGGAAAAGATTTTTTTAAAAAAACACAGATTTCGAGCAAGCAATACAGATTTCTTTGTGAGACTTATTGCTTATCCCTTGGCTCAAAGAAGAGCAAAAAATATGCCTTTGGTCTGTTGCAAAAAGAAAGAAAAGCATTCAAATATCAAACTTTTCCTATAAGTACTCTCCTACGATAAACTAAGGTCACATTTACAATGTGATTGAGTTATAAACCGACATTCAAAAGGCACAGCGTTATAATCATGCACCTACCAAAGGCATGGATATATTTACAGAATGCATGTTGCATTCAGCTAAACCTTGTCCTCTGAAGACGCGTAAACCACAACTGTATGGAGATACCCTGTGAGCAGTGGATTCTCTCTTGCATGGCTTTTAGAGTTTACAAAGTTGTTCGCATTGCTTGTTATTAGCATAGTTAAGATACCAACTACCCAACTGACAAGCAACGCCAATGACTTCATGAACGCTAAAAGCCATGCATGCAAGAGAGATAACAGTGGTTGAGGAAAATGATTACTACTGACTTTCACATAATTTTGATTAGACAAAGCTTATAAAACGGACAACAAATTCAAAAGGAAAACATGTACACTTGAACTGAATAGTCTTCGCATAAGGTGATAAACTTACTCATTTTTCCTCCGCAGGATATAAACTCTACTGAGCAAAATTTCCTCTTGTACAAAGTTATGTCAACAAGCATTGTAATGCAAACTTGAGAGATCTCCTTGAAAATCTATTTGGCTTTTCTACACCCATCACACACAGCACATTTTCCTCTGAAATGTCTTTGTTTGAGTCTTATTTCACCTCGCCAAAGCTGGGGTTACTCCAGTTGGCAATCAAAGTTAAGAAGATTTCTTTGCACTCTTACTTCAAGGTGCGTATTCAAATATTTTTTTTAAAAAGTGAAATAATACACGCAGGCTAACATCTGTGATGAGAACTTGACGTGTTAATATTTCAATGACAGCTTATTTGCTGGAGGGCAGATTGGCGGCAATTAAAGCGTGTCTCCAGGCTCCCCCACCCTTTCCTATCCCCAGACTACTGCTCGGCTTTCTTCACCAGCCAATTTTATTTTTCGCCCACACCAATTTTTTTTCTCCTTTTTCCCCCAATGTGGAGCCAGGTCCTAGGCTAGTTGCAGTTTTCCCGCATTGTGTTAGTTTGGATAATTCAGTAGATTTTTTTGGAATCAATCATATGCCAGCCAGAAGTTGCTGTTTTCTACATATCATTAGATCTGATCCTACTGAAGGATCACCTACACGTTGCGATCAGTGGGCTTGCGCGTCTCAGTAACCCCTAGAGCTATGCTGGCAGGAGATTTGTTTCCTGGTACAACCACCCATGCCAGACATGTCGAGGGGTAGAGGCCTGACAAAGCATGATGCACTGGTCCTCCACATTGGGGGTTGGATACAGAACTAACAAACCCGTTCTGTAAAAACACTCCTGTTACAGAAACAGCAACAGAGGAAATCGACGCTACTGGGTGTGATGGGCTTCTAGAGTCATCGGAACCATTCAGAAGCTGGCCCAGAATAGACAGGGGTGGCAATCCTTTGTTGCCGCCCTACATGCCTGATGGTGTTCATGGGCATGAGGGAGTGAGTGATTAGTTTTGATGACTCATCAGAATTTGTTTTTTGTTTTCATCGCTGTGCCAAATCTTACGACAGGTAATGTTGGTTTTAAGTCAAATTTACTTTGTTAATGTAATTTTCTTCCATGGCTCTCCCTCTGGATAATATTACACGTGATGTGTGTTTGATACACACCAGAAACCGAGCGTTGCTTCGTCCCAAAAATCGAGGCTGCAGCTTGTAATGATCGTCAGCATCAGCTCTTGCATGTAATAAGTAAATCAAATTTAGGATTAAACCTGAGCATTCATTTGAATGTTCAGGTTTAATTCTAAATTTGAACTGTTTACATGCATATCCATCACTATCACTCAAAGTGAATAAAACAGTTGGAATTTATAATTCACTTACGGTGTGAGCATTTGGGATGGATCCTGCCAGATTATGACCTTTCCATTTGTAAATTTCACCACTAAGAGTTCCAGAAAATGTCACATCATTAGGACCAAATGCTAAACAAAGATTTGTTTGAATTTCTCCAGCCTTGCCAAAGACACCTGTAGGAATATTAAACATTAGAATAATGCTTATAATTAATTTTATGTTGTTGGTAAATATTCATTCTCACAGGTTCACCAGAAATGCCCTTTGTCTCCTATGAGTACAGCACTGTAATTACAATTTAGGGCTACAAAATAAAGGAAATTCTGGATCAAACAACGTTGGATACTGCTTTAAGTCTGCAAATAAGATTTTACCCCCAACATAAACAAGAGAACTCTTAAAAAGTACTTAAGTACTTAACTACTACAAACAGTGGCTACTTTATCAGGTACACTGGTTATCTCTCCTTACATACTCCTCTTGAGGTAATTAATTTCCCTCAAAACTTCACACAATTTCTAGCCAGTTTTCTGATAACTATAACCTATCTACTTGCATGAGTCTGTCCCTTTGGTGTCATCAAAAGAACCAGTATATCGTGCGTGAGTTGTTTTCCTTTGAGTAGTTATAACAAATGTAACATAACACTTGATCTTCTATTAATATTCACTGTAGAAACCAAAGAGACAGATTCAACGGTATGCATGAAGAGGTGACCATATTGATCATAGAACAATCCACATAAAAGAGGTGTGATAGATGTTTTAGAGTAGTCATAAGAAGAGGAAGACTACATTGATTTGTATGAATCATACAGCAGTAGTCCCCTTGTATATGTTCTGTATAAGTTTAGCATTGTGTGGTTCAAATGCTCTATAAAATTACCTCTCTAATTCTGGAAGCAATCATTATATACAAGTATGAGCACCATTCTTTAAATTGCCCATTCTTTTCATGCACATGTTTAACTTTAAAGATGACATTAGGTTTGATAACCAGTGGTAACAATTCATTTCATTCAATTGACGTATTTAATTACAATGGATTTTAAATTTTAGAAGAAATAGGAAGAAATTAAGTCCACCATTGACCTTTTTTAGGATTTAGTGCATTTCCACAGAGGGTCCAAAACTTGATGTGTTTGACTCCACAGCTAACCAACAAATTCTCTTGATATGGGTTAAACTGAATGTCAAATATCTACAGGAAGAAACAAGAGAAGACTAAAGGAAAGAATGCAAAGCAGCAACTTATGTTTGACTAATTAATGCAACAATCAGAACTTACAAAAAGACATGTGAGGCCAAAAAGCCAATGCAGAATTTGTTGTCTATGCAAGTTCAATAAAATAAACATTGTGAAGTAACAATGTCCCTGTTGAGTAGACTGTTTAAAATAATTAACACTACTCAAAACGACTCACTCGATCAGTGTGTCCCCTCACTGTAGCCAACACACGTCCCTTTTTCCAATCCCACACTGCTATCAGATGATAGTCCTCCAAACCCACAGACACAAGCAGCTGAAAATGTCACAAACAGCATTACAATCAGTTTATAGGTAAAGGAAGTCTTGCCAGTGGTCCTTCAAAAAAAAAAGGTTTGATGTGGGTTAAACAGCTCTATCACATACATGTATATTACGTAGATATGGTAAGGCCAACAAAATGGCACATGGCTTCAATTTACTAAGTGGTGCCTGGAGATGGACACTAAGTCTGCACAAGAGTTAGATCAGTGCTGTGAAAGGGGGTATTTCATGAGGAACTTACAGAACCCTATTTTAGGTGCTCAGATTTATAGCTCACTCACAAAAATTGATACAAACCTTCTCCTTTTTCTCATGGAAATTATGCTTAAAAAATACTAGTTTGCATAAGGACACCATGATTTAATAAACAAGACGCTACGGAGCTAGCGTACACTTCGGCATCGTGGTTGTGGAACTAATTAATTGTAAATGCGGAGGAATAGTAAGAAATCAAATATGGTAAGAGTAAGGTGTGAAATTATGGGATTTGTCAGGATATTCTGAAAAGGGCAACATCCAAGACGCCTACTTGCCAAAAACTAGCATTTCAGGACAAATTGTCTCCACGATATTAGCCCAGTTATGCTCTGATGACTCCATACAAATCCTTCTAAAAAACAATTCTCTATTTTTCTTAGTCACATCAGGCTTCACAAATAGCATAGCAGTCTCATGTACTGATTAACGATATGTAAGTCATGGGTAAGGAGTCAATTACGTTGAGAATGGAATTGGCTAAAACTCAAAGTCACGAGTTCGAATGTTTCGAGGATAATTATTCACTGACTATCAGCACGCAGGGATGTCGGATTAACACAAGGAAGTTTAACACCAAAGGAACATAGCCTTTACAGAGCTTTAAAACACAGCATCCGCCAACACAAACTTGACTTGAACTTTGAGTAAAACTAAACAGCCTCTACCAATAATAACAAACTCTCACTTGAACTTCAGATATCTTACGGTTTCCGCGAACTTGTAAACACAGAACCTGAATAATCGACTTTCATCACACTTGACTAAACACAGTAGTCCAGCTCGTGGGAAAAAACTTAGTTCGAAAAAAGAACTCGCTTGGAACTTGTATACCGTTTGACATAAGGTTCTAGAAAATACTAAACAGGCGAATAGTAGAAGCTTTTCTACATATTTTATGATTTCAGTAACTGATGCAAATCTGCTGACTCATGCTGAAATGTAAACATGCCCTAATTAATTATTCATGGCTAATCCGAAGAAAGTCACCCAACGCATGAAAGCAATTTTACTACGTAACACTCAACAAAGACAAAATGTCTTTGTGCAGCATTTTGTAACTTTAAATTCATCATAAAACAGTTCGAAAGGAGGGCTCACTCGTGAAATGTTTTTCAACACTCGAAGAGAAATTTCGTGTCTCTGCGTGGCCACGAAATATCCTCTATTTATTCCTCGAATAATTAAAGACTAAACTCGAAGTGATCTCAAGATATCACGAAGTAGTCCGATCTCATTATGTGAAATAGTTGAAACAAGCCGAAAAGTCATGAACTTGCACGCCCAATCTTGTCCCGAAACTAGTGCATCATTTCATAACTATTTTTCATATCCCAAACTACCTTGGGTTGCAGTAGCGCAATCGGCCAATTTCTCAACTTAGAGTCTCCTCTAATCTGACGGGTCACACAGGTGAGTCGGTTCAAACCCCGGGAAGGCCAAAATAATAATTCTTTCTTCCTCGAAAAAGTTTAAGAATAAATCAAAGAAATGGAAGTGATCTCGAGATATCTCGAACTAATTCGGCTCTCACTTCGTCAAATAGCTGAATAGAGCCGAAAACCTACAGACTTTGCTTGCCCAATCTTGTCAAAAAATTGCAACTTTGATACAAGTCATTTCTGAGCGTCGCGAATCCTTTACTTCGCGCTCCACCGAAGTAATGATAATAAAGCAGGAACGGTTGTATCAAAATAAGGTCAACTACAGCCTTGTTTCCACTTGTAACCATAAATGGCTTATTCTAGGCGAAAGAGAATTCATCGTGTCACTTACAGTACAGACCTCAAACTCAGTTAGAGAGAGAATTATCTAGCAGTAGATATGCATGGACAGACATGAATGGACGAAGTTTGTTACATCATAGCAGCCCAAGGGAGAAGTGTGTGAGTGATAATGAATTCATCCCTAGGAGAAAGTCAGAGGCTCCACAGCTTAAATTATGTACAAAGAAAACAAGGTTTACAAGACAAGGAGAAATAACGACAAGCAGGCCACAGAGTAGAAAATGGCCCACTAGACTATAACTAACCACAAAGATTATACTAACTGAGAGATACCAATTATTATAATTACAATTCATACCAGTTTACCTGATAAAAATTAAAAGAATAAAATTGTGGTAGTAATTTCAAAGCCATTGTATCCAATTTAATTTCCAAATGCAGGAATGCAAACAATACCTATTTTAACAGTTATCCATAACGCAGTTGTGTGGTGCATGTCTGCATGTCACAGCAAAGCTTACCGTGCCGGAATTGTTGAATGCCAAGCATGTGACTCCCCTTTGATGGGTGTCTTTCATGATCGATACAGTCTGACATGACCGTGTGTCCCAGACACAGATGTATGGGTCTTTGCCAACTTGTCCAGTTGCCACCAACTGTTTATCTGGGTGTAAGGCTAAACTATATAAAAGGATAAGAATGCCACATCAGTCTGGTTTACTTCAAGAAAACTTTTTTTCTTTCAATGCAGAATCAATTCACTAATATGCAGTATACATTTAGGCAAGGTCAAAAGCAAAGCTCTCACATGGGATTTTTCAGCATTTGCCATAAGCAAGAAGTTAACTGAATCCCTCCTAAACGAAATGGAAGCTAGCCTGCCCCCAGGGGAGGACTCAGGATTTTAAGTAGGGATTTTTTGGGGTATTCGAACCAATCTGAACATGCGTGATAGTTCCTGCGTATCCCAGCCGCATAGTTTAGAGTTGTCATTCTGCATAATGTTACTCCTGTAACAGAATATGATCTTGGGTGTCTTGAGTGTTGTTACAATGACCATGGTGAGATGAATAAACAAACACAAACATTCCAGGTTTACTTATGTTTCTACTTTTTGTGTTATGTCTCATTTAATGCTTTCTGGAAATTTTTATAGCTAGGAAATTCGGCATGGGATTTTTTTGGTTTTGTTTGAAGTCCTGGGGATTTTTTTGGGTTTTGATTTTTGCCCCCGATTCGATCATCCCTCTTACTTGAAATCCGAAAAACTTTAAAAAAACATGTCACCTCAATGAGTTGTACACCTGAGCCTGCAATACAGTTAAGTGACACTGGTCAGTGGATACCCTTTTTTATAGCTGTCAATATTGACCATAACGTGGATCCCAAATATTAAGTTTAACTTACTAGATATACCATAAAATTGCGAAAATAAGCCCCTCCAAATATAAGCCCCCCAAAATTGTAACACAAAAAACCCTCGGTTAAATCGCCCCTCCAAATATAAGCCCCCCGAGGGGCTTGTACTTGGAATTTGCCCTCGAATACCAAGTAAAACAAAGCAAAAATGGTAAATTTCCTTCCCACTACAAGCTAGCCCAATTGATTTTGAAACACAAATTTCCCTCCGTACACAAGCCCCTCCAAATATAAGCCCCTCCACAAATAAGCCCCTCAAAAAGGGCCTTTGAAAAATATAAGCCCCGGGGCTTATTTTCAGAATTTTACGGTATACCTTGGACTCCAAGGTTGTTTACCGTTTACAAAATGTACCATTTGCAAGGTTGTTTACCATTTCCAGTTGGAAAGCAAGTGGAAGCTGACTTCTGGGGTCGTTCCAGCAGAAAAATTTCAGGGAGCAATGGAAATCCTGAAAAGGTAGTCCTGTTTTTCCGGACAGAATATTCCAAATGGAAATTCATGTTCCATTTCTAGCTTCAAAGCCATCTTTGATGACAGTTTCAAACCTTCACGGTTGTAACTGATTTGGGATCTTGTATAATTTGTGCACCCCTAGCCAAGTATTGGTTGACACTATCGGCTGATACACAATCAACATGTCAACCAATATGTCTGCCAACTCTCGGTTGCCATATCGATCGACATATCAGCCGAATCCTGGTTGATCTCTTGGCCAACATGTCAACCAACATATTGGCTGACGGTGTTGGTCAGTATGTTGACAGATAGCCGGGTGACATATCAATTGATAGGCTACCGACATTCAGACGATACTTCACTGCTACTTAGTCAATGGTACGTTTTTGGTCTACTCAAATTTTTGTTGTTACATTGTCCATGCAGCAATTTTTAAGAGGCTTTGGTGGCTTTAACTAGTCTTGACTATAAATGTGAAAGTATAATTTCAAGTGTGCGCAATTTTTTTTTTGGAAAAAAATAGGGACCGCTTTGGCATCACCTTTGAAAGGTATTCAAAAACAATCTAACATCATAACACATGTAGAACAATGGCAGAAATCCAACAAGTTGATATGGCATTGAAGACTGATGTGGGATGAGTGTAACACTGAAACCCAGCTCCCCCATTCTGATTTCAAAGCACAGATTATATTACATGACAGTTGACCAAGCCGGCATGCAGTCGAGTGACAGCCGACATGTCAACTGATATGCTGGCCAATGCACTGGCCAACATATTGATCAAGTGTCCAACAACATGTCAACCGACAGTCGACTGATATGGTGATCAAGAGTCGATCGACATATTGGCCAATAGTGCCGAACCGTACTTGTCCGAGGGGTGCACAAATTATGCAAGATCCCTGATTTGTACAAATAGTAAATGCAAATCCGGGACGAAATGTTCCAGTCCTGAATTTTGGGTACCAGTTGACCAAATCATGGACCGACCAGTTTGCCCATGTAAATGGTAAACAACCTAAGTTAGTAAGTGACATTCACTAACATCAAGGGGTGAACATAAGTACAGTCGAACCTCCACGTGCGACCACCCTTAGGCGACCACCTCCCATAAGTGACCACCTTCGCAAAACACCAAAAATATTTTCTGTCAAAGCCATAAACTGGAACCTCTCATAAACAGCCACCTCCCGTAAGCGACTACTTGACACATGGTCATACTAAACAGGTAAGTACATTGTAAAAATGGACAAAAAGGAAGGTGTCATCTAATTAATTGCACTTCTAATTACAAATGAACTGTCACATACAATGGCCGATGATTTTGTCATAAAAACTACCAGTAATTGTCAGGGGGAAGTAAACTTTCAGTAAGTAAACATACCACTCCATTCTAGGTTGACTTAGAAATTTCGACCTTGCAGTCTGACTCTCGTAAGCAAGCACCCCCCGTAAGTGACCACCAAGCCTTTGCATTTCGGGTGGTTGCTTACGGGAGGTTCGACTATACTATGGATAGATTGATAGACGTACAATTTTGTCTAAAATCCAACCAAAATTTCTTGGATACATACTGGATAACCAAATTTTATTACCCATGGTGCTCTCCTGTGCACTTCATGCCAAGAAGAGCCCCACAATAACAAATGAAATAACACCACAGTGCATCAGGGTTCCCCAGAAAATAATGGACTAGATAAGGAGAGAAATACTGAAAAGGCCATTATAAGGATTCAGGCTGCAATTACCTTCTAATAACTAATAACAGACCTGGGTAAAACTACCTATTCATAAATGCTTTCAAACAAAATCTTAGCACTTAGGTTATATACAGGTCCATTCTGGATGTTGAATGACCATAATCTACATGTAAATAATTAATTTATTACTTTGAAATATCAGGCCGTCCAAAGATATATTGTAAATTTGCACCTGACAGCACCAAGAAAAATGTATTGTACCTGTATGTTTTGTTTTGTCTTTCATTTTGATGTGTCAAACGCAAATTGAAAAGCAGGCTAGAACTGCATGTAGGCAGTCAAAGCTATTATAAAATCAAAACAGTTCAAAGCCAGCAAGAGGTCTGTAATCATACGAGTGATTAACAAAATCGGACGACCGCATAGCGGGAGTCCGATTTGTTTAATCACGAGTATGATTACAGACCGAATTGGACGACACGAAGTTCTGTTACCAATTAATCATAACTTTACAAAATTTGTGATATATTAGGCTCTTTTTTAAACCAAAACGCAAGAGATGTTTTTGCTAACAGTGAAAAAAAAAGCCATTTAAGCGCACGCGTGATGGCGTGTATTGTCCAATTACTTAGGCATGACCCGTACTGTCCTATTAAACTGTCCAATTAAGGCTGAAATCAGGGCAGTTGATAGCCAATCATCAGATTTGACAATTTTGTTATAGTTATGATTACAGATGAAATAACACCACAGTGCATCAGGGTTCCCCAGAAAATAATGGACTAGATAAGCAAAGAAATACTGAAAAGGCCATTATAAGGATTCAGGCTGCAATTACCTTCTAATAACTAATAACAGACCTGTGTAAAACTACCTCCTATTCATAAATGCTCTCAAACAAAATCTTAGCACTTAGGTTATATACAGGTCCATTCTGGATGTTGAATGACCATAATCTACATGTAAATAATTAATTTATTACTTTGAAATATCAGTGTCCAAAGATAAATTGTTAATTTGCACCTGACAGCAGCAAGAAAAATGTATTGCACCTGTATGTTTTGTTTTGTCTTTCATTTTGATGTGTCAAACGCAAATTGAAAAGCAGGCTAGAACTGCATGTAGGCAGTCAAAGCTATTATAAAATCAAAACAGTTCAAAGCCAGCAAGCTTCAATATTTAACTGTCTTATTAATATACAGTTCCATAGTATATTTGTATTTGAAAGGCAGATTCTAAGAATAATTTATATTATCATAAATTTCTCTGGTGACTGAATTAAACTTCCATTTTCAATTAAAATAAAATAAGGGTGTGTCGACTTGAGAATATTGCTCACCAAAATATGAAGAACACATTTTTAAATTGTCGCCTCGATTTTTAAAACATCTTGAATGACGAGTACTTAAAAATATATCTGCTTTTATGCGTTCACATAGAATAAACTGACACACAGATAATCGTAAATTATTGTCTCGTAGAAAAGTATACCCGGAATCAAGTTCGGGTATAAAAATATTTTGTTCTCGTATGGCTACAAAATGAAACAAATTAATTGATGTGAAATCGAAGAACAACGTTGTTCAATATATAAATATAAGCCTAAAATAAAAATAAAGTGAGTGTTCATTCACCAGAGTCAATCAACCAAAAGAAAGACCCCAGCTATGAAACACTGATTCGAAGAATGTATGTTTATGGCCCAGTAAAAAGGCCCTTCCTTTTAAGGTGTCGTTAAAAATGCACAAGCAAAAATATCTTGTGGAAGTATCACCAGAAAATACTTTTTCGGCAATTAGAATTTCAATGTACTTTGAAACAAACTCATGCATGCCGTCAATAGAGTTTACACGGCGCTTGCACGGTAACCCGGTCAACATCCAGAAGCATGCATTGTTCAAGTTTGCACAAGGGATCGGTAAATATATCAAGCAAATACCGCATTTATCAAGTCTGCTTGTAGGAGATACCTTGTAGGAGAAACTAGTCTGTACAAGCCCTAAACTTTACAAACCTGATAATATCATCGTTGTGTCCAAGAAAAAATCGTTGTGAGTTGTCCCTCGTGTTGTAAACCACCCCCACTCCAGCCACAAAATACACGATCTCCTTCGCGCCAGTGTAGTAAAGATTGTTTCTGCATTGGTGTCCTCGATAACCGTACACCCATTCTAGTTTTAGCGACGAGGTTGGAGCTGTTCTGTCTGTCATTTTCCAAACCAACTGCCAACATGACAGGCGAACCCGCCAAAACAACTTTTCTCACTCGCGTTACCAGCGTAGTCGCTTCGAGAACGAGCTGACGTGTTGATTGGTTGACACACGTTCAAACCGATGGGAAGCTGGATTGGATTGGATGTGATGTCACGCTGTGACTGTGACAAAAGTCATTTTTTTGAGAGAGGCGATCGAAGGATTTTTGGGGTTTGAAATTTTTGATTTCGGGATTTTTTGGGTAGGAAAATTTTGGCAAGTATTTTTTTGGGTAGCTTGATAGCCCCCAAAAATAGGGATTTTTGGGGGTATTCAAAACCAATGATCATTTAATGTTTACTGGAAATTTTTAGGCTAGGAAATTTGGCATGGGATTTTTGGGGGGTTAAATTTTGGTCTGGGGGTTATTTTGGGTTTTGACAGGGTTTTTATTTTTGCTCCCATTCGATCATCCCTGTCACTTGAAATCCGGAATACCCCCCCCCCCCCCCCCNATCCAGGTCCACAAAAGATCCGGCCAGACCCTCACTGGTTTGTTGTTATGTTTTTGCCTTCACAAGTGTTCCTAATAGATGCATTTTATGGCAGCAAAAAAGTCGAGAAAATTTGTGGTTTATTCATATTCAAAAGACACCACAGCAGTTCTGAGATACAAAGTTTTAAACTAGATATGTGAGAGGGGCATCATTTCTCAAAAGAAGGAATACTAAGTGAGTACCTTTTTTGTCAGAAATGGAATATAAATTTTAAGGGTTAGGGGTTGGACCTCGGCACAGAGCCTCTCTGTATAGAGGGAAGGAACCCACCAGTCTCAGAATATTCTCTGAAGATATCCCAATGTGATCCATCATCGTGACTAAAAATTTCTAAAAGTACTTCTTGAATGTAAAATGAAACCCCTCATGTGGCCCAAAACACCCTTAAAGTTCCATTTATTGGAAGGAGTTGAGTGGGTACCAGAGTGGGCTCAGGTGTGAGGGACTTTCACACAAAAATGACAGTGATGATTAGGGGGTTCAGGATGGAAAACCAGTCACCCATTAAGGTATCACTAAGGGTTGTGCATAAAGAAACAAAGCAAATGCCACCATACTGAGCTGGACTGAGCCACTCTCAGTTTGGTCTTTTTTAGGGATATATTTTTCTAATAATTGTCCAATGATCACCCCTGTCTATTTCAAAAGTGGAGTTTCCCCTGTATTTGAGTTTTTCTAAAATATTCTTGATGAGGATTGTGTAAAACTAATAACATGATTGGTATAAATGTATTTAAAATGCCTGGTAAAATGATTGAATTCCAAATAAATAGACCCTAAACATCACATCCTGTTCAGCAGCACATAGCTGTTAAGACCAATTATGGGAGTAGCACAAATAAGTCAAATTAAACAAAAGAGTCTGAAATTGAGGAAATCGGGCCACATTATTTCATTTTCTTCTAGAAAAAAAAACATAAACTTTTCCTATCTAAATATGTAGCTTAAAATACATTAGAGAAAAAAAACATATACTACTCCTATCTAAATATGTAGCTTAACATACATTCAATAATAAAATATTAAGAGTACAAAAATTGAGAAATTGCACTAAGATATAGCACTATTATTCATTTACACCTTTCAAGCACGGACCATTGGCACCAAACCCAAGTAAGCTAAAACATTTACACTCCTCTGTCAAGGAATAACTTAAAAGACAGTGATCATGACTGACTGACTTAGCCTTCAGGCACTATTTTCTCCCAAAAACTCTTACTTCCCTATACGTTTTAAATGCACATGCAATTACAAGAGGCTATTAATGTCATACTTGACTTATGACACACTTAATTTATATTAATTCGCATTAAATTATCAGATTGTTCTGAGCTGTAAATATGCTAAAACTACAAAATCACAAAACAAAGTTCTACCTATTCATTGACACAATTATTTACTATCTAAAGGACGATTTTTTTCTTTACTTATTTTCTGCATTAAGCAGACACATTTGCCAATCAGAAACTTCAACGTCCCCGTCCCCAGGCAACCCCCAGGCATTTGAACTTTTTGACACTCAAATTCCCACTACATGCTAGCCCCATATAGACTCCTCCCAAAGAAAAAATGTTTTGCAGATTGTGAATCGAAAAACAAACTTTGCATTTATTATGCTGTGCATGGATAAATTTATGGTGAATGCTTTGGATGTTGAAGGGTAAGTTGGGCTATATGTACCAATGATAATATACTTTGTATTAAACAAGGGAGTGAATTAGGGTCGTGGAATTAAAAAAAAGTCAAATTCATACATTTAGGTTTTGAAAGTCCTTGTCGAACAAGCCATTCTTTTACAAAATATGTGTTTTTACCTTTAAACTCCTCCATCTTATTATGAGAAAGATTGCATCTATCAAGCTACCTGTCAGACATGGTATGGTACAAAGACGTTAAACATGACACTTACGGTTCAAATTCCTCACCCTACACAAGCAAAGGTCAAATTCCCTACTCACTGAGTACAAGTGATGGTCAAATGCCCTGGGTAGGACCGCCGGGATGTTGAAGCATAGGGAGCCCACATGTTCATTTGTAAATTTTGTGACAATTAAATAAAGTTAAATGAATATTACATCAAGAAACCTTTTTGCATCTTGTCTTTGTCTCTCTTTCCACGATATTTGCAATGCATTGAGGTGTGGTTCTGTAGCATTGCATGCAATTCAGTGATGGTTTGAATTACACAATATTTCAGTCGTATCACGTTGCACCTTTGTTTGCTTTACATCTCACGTCTCTTGCTGATTATTACTAGGGGCTCAGCATAAAGAGAGAGAAAAGAGACAAGGGTCAAGATTATTTTGGGCATAAAATTCTTAATGGTCGTAGTCTCATAATACCTGTAGCTTTGACACCATTTGTTTACTTATCATGAGTTGAACGATTAATGTATCATGGTCAAAAGTATTTTATCAACGTGTCATTACTCCCATGAAAAAAGCATACAGTATTTGAGGACCACCTTTTGGAGCTATGAATGCCTGCAAATGAAACCCGAGTAAACCTCACTAAACCCTGGAATGAATGCCTCTGCTTGACTGAACCAGAAGTTCATTTAGCCTCGGTGGCATGGTTATCATCAGTCAATACCCTTTGTTTTATTTTAATGGGAGCGATTTTCGTATGACCTTGAAAAATGGTTTCGGTAAGTGTTTGTTATTTGTTTTATTAGCCAATGGGTAAAAAGATCAAAACATGGCCTATTCGTTTTCCCACCAAAGAAAACCCTAATATGGAGAAAGCAATGTTCGATTGGCCAATTGTGTTACAGTATGATGTCAAAGCGAAGTATCAGTTGATTTCTAGGAAGTTCTTGGACATGAAGTTTTTTTCACCCAAGCGTGCACTTAACAGACCAAAAGCCGCACGTGTTTGTATCCATTCGATAAACCAATCAAATCTCTCTATTTCCGTTCGTTTTGTGTTTCGGTTTTGTTCACACGTTTTCATTTCAAGGTCATACGAAAATCGCTCTGTCATAAATTTCCCCACCAGGAAACCAGTCAAGTGGAGGCATTCATAGAACGATAACAGCTTCAGACCCTTGTCACTATTTAACTTTGTACCATTAACTTTCAAATCATTAATAATTAATAATCAACAATGATGAACATGCAAGACATAAGGTACACAAAATGCGCAACACAATACAACTGAAATATTATGTAATCCAACCGTCACTGAATTGAATGCAATGCTACAGAACCACACCGCAACACATCGCAAATGTTATGGAAACTGAGACAAAGACAGCATACTCATAAGGACAACAGGCAAGTTTACTTCTTGATGTCACATTCTTTTAACTCCAAATGAACGTGAAGGCTCCCTATGACTGTAGTTTCAAATCGATTGGCATATTAAGTCCATGCCCCGGTGTCCATGCATAATCTAAGAGCACTGTGTAGTCAAGAGTGGCAATGTATAAAAATGTGCTTGCTTGAAAAAAAAATCCATATGCTGACAGAAACCAAACTTTAGGGCTATTTCGTGCAGGTCTGAGAGTTGCACTCTTTCGTCTCTCGTATTAGCCCATCACAATTTTTCCCTCCATCTGCGGGTGCTGGGTTTGTACAATTTCGCGTTCTAAACTGCATGCCACCACCGCACGTTTTATCACAGGGTCCAAACTCGCTCCACTCTGTGAATCCACCATCAACAGGACAACGCTTGACGTTGCATTCCTGCACCTCGTCTATCGGTCCCTCGCAGTTCTTTCCACCATGGGCAGGGGCAGGATTTGTGCAAGCTCTTGTTCTCTTTTTCACTCCTGGGCCACATGTCTTGTCGCATTCGCCAAAAGGTGTCCAATCGGTGAAACCTCCATCTACAGGGCAAGGTTTAATATTGCAAGCTTCTGTTTCTTCAGCCGGTCCTTCGCAGTCTTTGCCGCCATGCTGAGGCGGCGGATTGGAACACGTACGTGTTTTTTTCCTAACGCCATCGTCTCCGCAAGGTTTACTGCACTCTCCGAATGCACCCCAGTCCGAAAAACCGCCGTCTATAGGGCATTCTTTATCTTTACACTGTTTTTCTTCAACTGGTGGACCAAGTGTTAGTTCCAAACAAGTTTTCCCAAAATATCCAGGTGTGGGATTCGAACAATTGCGACGCCGTTCACTCGTTCCTTCTCCGCATTCTTTCGAACACCGTCCCCATTCAGACCATTCACCATATCCTCCATCAAGGGAAGTTCTCTTCACGATAAAATATAGTGGAATAGCTACCGCGCAGACCACAGCAATTAGAGTAGGAAGTCTTCCCCGACTAATGGCCATGATTAACAATATGCAGAAAGTCTTAATTTTTGATTTTTGCTTGAAGAAGCGGTGGTTGCTAAGGCCCTTTTAGTGCGAAAGCTGCTTCATGTAGCGTTCATGAAATATTCTGGGATTGGATTAAGGCGACTCGACCCAGTTTTTTTGGGGGGGTACCATCCTACTTTGAAGCTCTCTGGTTTCCCCGCCTTTACTTTTATCGTAAGTCTAACACATAGAATGGAAAACATATAGATCAATCTACAATATAACATAAAATTTTTTGCGATCGAAGTAAATGTCACGTGGTTATAATTCCACACCCCTTTGAGGTCTGAGTCGAAAATCTGCTGTTGCCGGCATTTTTTCGTGAAAATCTCTCGGCTACACATAGTGCGCATTAGTGCCTTGCGCTGAACAGAGTTTCACCAAAATCGCAAAGACCCAATTCGAGAAATTCAGCGGTTTCCAAATTTAGGTCATAATTTATGCGAAAAT